TCTCTTATACACATCTCCGAGCCCACGAGACTAGGCATGATCTCGTATGCCGTCTTCTGCTTGAAAAACAAATTAATGGAATGGGTTCCTGCTGATTGCCCATTGTAATATCTTAATCATTGTTACCATTAAGGTAGGTTAGGTTTTAGGGGTTTCCAGCATATAGCGATATTATCCTCATTGTATAATGAGGGGGCTTATTACCTACCCGTGGTGAACTCCGCAGATTTCTGAGCATTGTCCATAGTAAACTCCTTCTCGTTCTACTAAAACTGAAGTTTGATTTAATCGACCAGGAATTGCATCAATTTTTAGACCTAAAGAAGGAATAGCAAATGAATATATAACATCAGCACCAGTTACAATGAATCGAATGTGAGTTCCTACTGGAACTACTACTCGGTTATCTACTTCTAAAAGTCGTAGTTGCCCATCTTCTAAGTCATCTGTTGGAACTAGATAAGAATCAAATTCGATAGACTCTCCATCCTCGTTAACAAAATCAGAGTACTCATAAGACCAATACCATTGATGACCTAATGCTTTAATTGTCATAGCTGGATCGATTACTTCATCCATTATCTATAATAATTTGAAACTAGGGAAAGCGATTGCAATTAATACAAAAGCAGGAGTGATAGTCCAAATTAATTCAATTAGTGTACCATGGTTATGATATTTGTAAACAATTTGATTTTTATTAGAACCAAAGTTTACAATAATCGAAGCTAACACCCAAGAAACTCCAAATAAAATAATTACTAGATAAAACATAATTTGATCATGTAATTCTACAATTCCTTCGTACGAAGGTGATGCACCATCTTGGAACGCCCATTGCCAAGGCTCAGGAGCATCATTCCATACAGGAGAAATGATATTTAATGATTTAAGCATATTTAACATAAATTCTTATGAACGGTATCCCTTAGATAAAATAAATAAACATGGGAGCCTGCTCCCTAATCCTGGGTCCAGTATACCTGTCCAGGATTAAATAATCCAT